TGAGGAGGGGAGGCCTAGGCGTGCCGAGCTGCTGTGTGCCCTGGGCAGTGGTGTCAGCCCCTGCCCACGAGGCCAGGCGGCCCGAGAGGAGGTGCTTTTGGCCGGATACATCCAGATTCTCGGAGCCAGAACGCCGGCCCTCAAGCAGGGCAGGCGGAGCGCGACAGGCCCCCTGGGTTTGGTACCAGCACTGGCTTGGGAGTCAGACGGACCAGAAGGGGTGGACCCGGGCAGCAGCACCACAGACACCAAATCCCTCTCCGTGTGCCAGGGCCCTCGCAGGGCGTTAGAGTGCTCTCACCGGGCTCCCTCTGGGACGGCTTCCGCTTTGTGGAAGGGGAGAGCGCCCCAGGAGGGTCTGTGGTGACCTGGTGAGGGGTGTAGAGAGCTTGGCGCAGGGGCCTGGCGCAGAGCACAGGCTGAACACACCACCGCCTACACAGAGCTATGGCGGAGCTCTGGGGGCCGGAAGGCACACAGAAGCCCGGTCCCGCTGGCCTGCTCCAGTGCCCCCGTCTTGCCTGTTCTGACCCGGGAAGGACTCCTGAGAGGCTGGGGGTCTCTGGGGTCAGCCAGGCTCCCCGTCCACCACACCCTGGTGGGCTGAGAGCTTGCACAGCCTCCTCACTGCTCTCCCCCTTCCATGCAGGCCCTTCTATACCAGAAGCCGGATGAGTGTTCCCTCTGCTCACACCTGCCCTCTGCTTCCTCCTCACACAGAACGAAGCCCCCCACCTTCCCAGCTGCCCGGAGCCTTGCAGTCCCAGCTGCTGCTCAGGCTCTGGCTCCTTCCAGCCAGTCCTACCCTGGCCTAGTCTCAAGCTCCCAACCCTCTCCACTGCTGGCCACGCCTCTGCTCCTGCCATCTCCAACCACTTCCTGAGGAGCAACTCTGTCCACTCCTGGGACACGGGTGTCACTGTCCAGACCACTCCCAGACACACGTCACAGGGATGAGAAGTGTGCTTGGAGTTCTGGCCAAGGGGAGGGGTCGCCCACAGAGCTGCTCGGTGCTGGCCCCTGGCGGCCACTCAGTACACAGCCGGCAGGTAAACAGCACTAGGAGGAAGTCCAGGATGGCTGGGGTGGTAGGGTGGGAAGGCAGGCAGGGAGCTGGGAGGAATGCCAGGCGGATGGTGGGAGGGGCGGGGCTGCCACTGCAGCTCCAGTCCTCTGTTCTGCCCGCCCCTGTCCACACTCCCAGGTACAGGTCTCTAGAGAGGCTGAGGCAGAGCACTGACAGCTCAGTCTGGACCAAGCACTTCAATACACGCTCACGCATCCTATTGTCAGCCTGTGGGCACAGCTGTGAGCTCCGGTGCAGAAGAAGGCCGGAGGCCAGGAAGGTGGTCACCGGCCTGAGGACACAGCTGGGGGGCGGGGGGGGGGGCAGGTCTGAGTCTCTGCTCTAACTCTTCTCCCGTGAGAACTGGGGACTGAGCGTCCTCAGCCGTGACATGGGAACACTCACACTAGCTACAAAGGGCCAAGGGGAGAACCGAACGGGGAGAGGGGGGACCGCCCTGGGAGAGCCCCCGGCCTTCCCCGCGCCTCTGCTCACCGTGCCCGTGCTCTGCTGCCGCGCGTCCAGGGCTCCAGCCAGGCCGTCCGTCGCTTGGGGGTCTTCGTATTTCACCCTGAAACAGGCCACCATGGCCGTTAGCGCTGCCCTTGCTGTAGGGTGTGCCAGCGGATGTGATGATGGAGGTAATGGGCAGGGAAGAGCTGGAGGGAGGGGGTGCTGCTGGCCCAAGACAGAACCGGATCGCCAATGGCCAACATCAGATTTGGCCGAACTCCAGAGAGGAGAACTAGGGCTTCCAGACACTTTGAGCTGCTCCCATTGGATAATTTACAAACCGTGGATCTGGGCAAGGCTGTGTTTGAATGGGGAATTAAGCTTGCGGGTGGGCGGCTGGGTGAGGCGCCCTCTGGCACTGGCTTACTGCAGGACATCCCCAGTCTGACAGAAGGTGGAGGGTGATTCTAACCATCCTCTGGGGGTGCCAGCCAGCTGGGCACTGGTTGCGGGATGGGGGGGGGGGGGGTGAGAAGCTGGGGAGGGACAGGGTGAACACCACCGCTCCCAGGCAGAGGGCAGGGAAGGGGGTGTCTGGTGGGTTTGAGGTGAAGTTTCAGGGGGAGCAAAAAGATAAAGCAGGAGTGGGAGGAAGACCTGGGATAACGAGGGGGCCTGGTGTCTCCCCTGACTGCTGCAGAGGGATGGGCATTGGGGGAGGCAGTCCTGACGCTTGAGAGAACCGTTATGCTCGCTCTGAACCACAGCAGAGAAGAAGGGAGAACTCAGCACTGAGCCCCAGAACCCCCGTTGCAAAGGGACACCGCTGCACAGGGACACCCTCTGCTGAGGCCGGGCTGCACAGCTGCAGGCTTTGGAAACTGGAGTTGTTACACTGAATGCCTGCCATGCCCCTTCACCCTCCTGGGAATGGGGCAGGCTGGTACTTAAAGGGGCCTCTTGAATAAGCCCCCCAAATTCTCCCACAGCCACTTTGGAGAGCCCCGGGGTCCACTCCCCATAAGATGTGCAGTCCCCAGGGGAGCCGGCCACACCCGGCTGCAGGACTTGCATTCCTGTCCAGTGGGCTGGGGCCCGACCATCTGCAGGGTCTCCCTGGGGCCAACCCAAGGGGGGGTGGCGGGCAGTGTGCTCTCATCCTTCCGGTGACAGCTGAGTGCCCCTGGCTAAATCTGGGCAGTGAGTGCAGCGAGGAGGAAGCGATGCCAGAGATTCAGAGATTGTGCAAAGCCCTGGCCCAGGGAGGCCGCTCCCTCAGGTGCAGTCACGCTGCCGTCCCTGTGCCCGGGCACAAATGCTGGAGGACAAGGCAGAACAGGGCACGTCTGGCCCTGGAACAGACAGAAACCGATGCTTCCTTTCCCTCCAAGACCTGCATGTTCTCTCCTATTGATAATTACCCGCCCCCCATCTCCCTCTTCCTCTCAGCACACACCTGCACGGCCCTGAAGGCGAGGCTCGGCCATCGCTAGGAGCCGTGCCTGCAGCAGCGGAGGGCCCAGCACACCCGCTAAGGACAGTGTCACAGCCCAGACAGGGCTGCAGACCTGCCCAGGTGTCTGTGGTCCATGCCCAACACAGGAGGGAGGGCTGCTCCTCACATGGTCCCGTAAGGCTGCTGACCACGAGACTACTTAGGGTGACACAGTAGCATGGGGAGGAAGCGGACTGTGTCCCAGAACAACGATGTGGGAGAAGCTGAGGAAGGGCTTCCCTGCTTTGGCAAAGCCTGGCTGAGGCACCCCTGACCTGGCCGGATGGCCCCTTGCTCTCCTTGGTGCCCCGAGTGGAAGGGCTGGCCAGGTGGAGAGGCCGGGACTGTGCCAGCTGTGTCAGGGCTGGAGCAGAAACAGAGAGGCTGCCAAAGAGCTGGCTTCCTGGTGAGTGGAGGCAGAGCTGGCACCAGATACCAGGTAGACAGGCCTGGGAGGGTCTGAGAGTCCCAGGGAAGGAGTCAGGTGACCAGGGCTAACGAGGCAGCTGGAGCAGAAGGAAGGAGCCAGGCAGGAGGACAAAGGGCTGGGGAACTCGGAGCTGGGGCACATTCCTCCCCTGCAGGGCACTGGCACTTTCTGCTGGGCGGAAGCCAATCTCGGGGCCTGTAGGATGCTGTTTCAGACCACCTGCCCTACCTCCTGCTCTCTCCTACCTCTGACCTTTGCACATGCAGTTCCATGGCTTGAAACGGCCATCCTGACCCTTGCCCCCGACCTGCTGTCTGAGTCGCAGTGCCTGGTACACCCCTCCAGCACTCAGCACTGTGAGATTGCAGGCCCTGGAGAGAATGTTCCAGAGTGCTTTCCTTTCTCTCCTAGAGCGTTGTTCCAGTAGCAGCAAACATCAGCCAGGCTGGCGATGGGCTCTCTGGTGTGGCCAGAGTGCCACCTGCTGGGGCCTCGTAGGGGGATCACCTCTTGGCTGTTAGGTCCCACCAGACTCATTAGCTTCCACCTGCACAGCAGCCTCACGTGCCCTAACTCTATGGCAACCATGAGCCACTGGTCCCAGAGCCCTAGGTTTGAGACTATAGACACTGCCTGAATAAGGATGTGGCTCATGGCCCATCAGTCCTCCCTTTCCCAGAGATGGCTACGGTCAGTGGGCAGGCAACCCATGGGCCCTGGTGGGCTACACCTGGATACGCCAGGATGGAGAGGGTAGTTCTGGGTCCTTCAGAGGCCCATTGACCGTTTCCAAAGACACCAAAATGACCACTAGGAGCTGGTCCACTGGGACAGGTCCTTAATCCAGAGCTGTCCTTGGCTGTCTTGTCTGTCTGGCCAGCCCCAGCCCAGACTCAGGGTATGAGCAAGGGGCCGAGGACGGGGACGAGCCTCAGCACACCTCTTCTGACACGCCTACATGGAGCCCATCACGGGAAGCTGAGGCAAGTGCTGGTCACGTGCCCTGACCGCTGAGGGCATTTCCCTGGAAGTGGGCGGCCCTATGGAAGGACAGCCCCCAGCTCGGTGCAGAGTGGGCAGACCTGAGTGAGGTGGTCGGGACTGGAACGGCGGAAATGACTGGACAAGCCCGAGGACTTACCAGGAGCCTCCCTGCTGGCCCAGGGGCTTGGTGCACTGCGCACAGAGCAGGGGGAACATGAGTCTCAGACGCTGTTCGCACACCACAGACCAGGCTCCCACCGAGGAAGCCTCAGTTTCCTCATCCAATCAGATCTTATGAGATTCTGGCTCGTAGCTGGTCAACCTACAGGCCAGCCTTCCCCATCCAGCTCTGCCTGCCGCCTGGGTCTGCTGCCTGGCCATGGGTTCTGTGGGCCACGTGGGGCTGACTTAGGGGAAGGAACTCTGCCTCCCTGTGGGGGTCAGTAAGGGGATGTGTGCTTTTCCACGGGGTGTGCCCACCAACAAGTGGATCCAGGGACCCGGAGAGAGTCTCCTCTGATGGGGAGTGACCCAAACTGCAGGAGGGCCGGCCACTCACTCTCTCTTTTTTTTTCAATATGGAACACTTCATGGATTTGCGTGTCATCCTTGCACAGGGGCCATGCTAATTTTCTCTGTATCATTCCAATTATAATATATGTGCTGCCAAAGCAAGCATGCCACTCACTCTTTCCGTTGGTCAGCCAGGGAGCTGCCCCGTGTTAGAGCAAACATGTCAAACTCGTCCTCCAGGCGGCCGGAGTTCTCCAGAGACTGCAGGCCGGCCCTCACGCTGCTGGAGCCCAGGTCTGCGGGGACAGAGAGGCACATAAGACTCCGCCTGCTGCTCTCGCACGTGCCATGGCCAACCTGCTGCTCCCTGCCGGGCCCAGGGCTGGTTCTGGGTGGGCAGCGCGGAGGGGGTGCACACAGGGCAGGATGCATGAGCGGGCGGCCACCTGCTGGCTGCGGGACCACGGGCATAGCCACCTCCTCACTCAGAGTGATTTCCTGGGCTTGGCACGAAGCAGGCAATCAGTAACAGTAAGACCAATTACTGTGATATGTCAACGATTTGATGGCTAACATGTGCCAGGAGCCCAGTCCGGCCTGGCACTGCTCTGAACCTGGCCCATACCCGAGTTCATTCAGTCCTCATGATCACCTGTGAGGAAGGGCCCATTCCTGCCCATCACAGAGGAGGAAAGGGGCACAGGACGTTCCAGCGACTTGCCCATGCTCACCCAGGAGATTCAGACCACGGAGACTTCAGTGTCAAGGGCACCCCAGAACAATGGACTTCTGAGACCTGGGAGGGCTCGGCCATTGTGGGCTGTGAGGGAGAGTCCCACATCTTGTCCCAGATGCTCAGCCTGGGACCCCGGTGTGGGGGGTCTGGGCTAACACTCTGCTGTTGGGGCACCAGCTCCAACTGTAACACAGGACGGCACCCCCAGAACTGCAGGGCTGCCCGCACTTACTCATTCCTGCCAGCTGGGACGAGAGGCCGCCAGTGGCTGCTGGGTCAGCGCCCATGTCGATGAGGTCTGCTGCCGCCTCGGCCTCACTGGGGGCCTGGGGGGAAGGGAGACCCACCGTCAGGCCCCTGCCAGTGGCCTCACTCCCCTCAACCAGAAGCTCTGGCCCGAGGATCTGTCTCCCGAGTTCTGCAGTTGTGGCTTCTCCCCTTGGCCTGTAGCTCTGCTGCTCCCTCTGGAGGGTGGGCAGACCCTTGGGCACTAGCTGGTGGCAGAGCTTAAAGAGACAGTGATATAAGAAGCTAGAAGGGGACTTTTCAGGAGCCTAGATAAGAAGGCGCATCCTGCCCAGGATGTGGGGTGGGGGTGAGCACCGCCCTCCTTCTCCCTGTTAACCAGGCACAATCTGGTGAGAGCAAAGCTGATTACCTTGGCCGTCTGGCCTGTCCGGTACCGCTCGAACCTATGAGACAGAAAGAGCGAGTCAGGGAGACAGGCTGAGAGGCGCCTCGGCACAGCCAGGCAGAGCCCTTCATGTGCCGTGGACACCTCCCCCCCCCAACCCCTGTTCTCCTCTAGTCTGTTCCTCGGGCTCAGCAGCAGCGCAGCGGTGAGTCTATTTGTCTGGGCAGACCCAGTGATGCCCGGCGTCCCCAGGGCACTGTTAACTGTGCCTCTTTCACGTGCAGAGACCCAATTTGGATTATCAACGACCTGGCCACTCGGGTCATGATCAGCGTCAGACAAACGAACAGGAATGGGCTAGAGGAGAACATGGGATGCACGTGGCACATGGCAGAGGACGACTTCTGTGGGAGCTGCTCAGTAATCTACTTGCGTATGTGTGAGTGCCAGGGCCTGGGTGGTGTGCGAAAGACACACATTCCTGCACTGCCCCGAGCCACTGGCCACCCTCAGATAGGCCTGGCGGTGGGCGAAGGGGGCTAAGAAGACCTGAGTCTGGGGTCTGTTCGAGTCCTGGCCCTGGCCCTTGTTAACAGTGTGACCATGGGTTATTATGTCACTTCTGACCTTTCTTCCTTGTCCGTTAAAAAGGGGGTGAGAGAGGAACCTGCCTCCCAGATGAGAGCATCAAGCAGACACAGTATGAGTGGTTGTGAATGGAAAGTACCATCAGGCAAATGCCAGGCCTGCTCTTTCCCCATTTCCCGTGATCCTGGTGGGATGGCCGTCCAGGGCCCTCCTGTCCCCCAACCAGTGGGCACAGCAAAGCTGAGCCAGTTTCTCTCAGGGACCTGTCCCTGAACAGAATGACACAAGTAGAGGAAGCATCTGGACCCATTTACTGATGGTGACACCTGGGGGACATGGTCTAGGACAGCGGTCACCAGCTGGTAGTCCACGGATCACTGGTGGTCTGTGAGGTCCGGAAGGTTGGCGACCTCTGGTCTAAGAGGTTCTGCCCAGAGACCCCTGAGCCGCCCTAGGATCTGTCTGTCCCTCCTGCTCTGTTGGGAGGCCTCGCTGTCCACGCTCCTTTGGACTCTAAAAGCTATGCATTTAATAGAGGCTATTCATCCAATCAACTCCTTTTCTAAGTCAGCCAGAAGCGCTGTGTGTACTTGTAGTTAAAGAGCCCTAATTAAGGCCAGTAAGTGGTCCGAGGCCCCAGAGCCAGGCAACGGTGGAGTGAGCAAGGACAGATCAGCCTGCCTGGCTGCGGGCTCACGCACTCGGCCACTACCGCTGCCCTCTCCAGGGCCTGGACACAGGGACATAGGGCAGGGCTAACTGGCGAGGAGAAGAGAGGTAGTGGAAGGCGGGGCGTTCATGCCCATGCTGTTAGAAGACAGCTGAGGATACATGCCCTGGGTGGCTGGGTTGGTGTGGGGAGACCAGGGTACAGGGCGGATACGAGGGAGGGGAAGGGTGCGCAGCTTCAAGGCTGGGGAAGGGTACCGTTCGTGGCGCAAGAACACGTTGTTGAGATTGTCGTTGACGATGAGCAGCTCCTCTGTCAGCTGCTCGTTGGCGATGCGGGGGATGAGCTCCAGGACCCGCTGCTGCATGGCTCGGCACGTCCGGTTGAGCTCCTGCCTCGGAAGCAAGGAGGACAAGCATGGGCACCGGACCAGAGCGAGGCCATCTCTCCTGGAAGGGCTCTGGCCCCTGGTGACCTTGGAGAGCAGAGCGGACAGAGCAGCTCCAGGGGCTCCACAAATGAGCCTCTGAATTCCACTCTGTGCTTCATGCTCACATTCACCAACCAGCTGGCTCCGTGCAGACTTCAGAGGAAAGTTCCTGTCGCCATCTTTGCTTGTTGAAGGACAGAGCTGCCAGGTGGCCCGGCCGAACAAACTGCAGCTTCTCTGGGTTTATTGGGGTATTTTGGTTGCCAAAACATAAAAAATAGACTACAGGGCTCTAGCTGGTTTGTTCAGTGGATAGAGTGTCGGCCTGAGGACTGAAAGGTTCCGGTTTGATTCTAGTCAAGGGCACATGTCAAGGGTTGCAGGCTCGATCCCCAGTAGGGGGCATGCAGGAGGCAGCCAATCAATGGTTCTCTTTCATCACTGATGTTTCTCCTCTCTCTCTCTTCCTCTCCCTCCCTCTCTGAAATCAATAAAAATATATTTTAAAAAACACCCAGATGACTCCAACTATTATCAACAAACCCAAATTTTGAATTTTTGCCTTATTATTCACAGACTTATTTTTAAAAAAAATACTTTTGTTTAGGAATAATGTTAGATTTATAGAAGAGTTGCCAAGAGTTTCTGTAACCCTTGACTCAACTTCTCCCTAGCCTGGCACTTGTCAGAACTACGACATTAACACTGCTACAATGCCATAGGCTAAACTACAGGCTTTGTTCAGGTTTTCCGTTTTTCTACTAACGCCCCTTTCTTGTTCCAGATCCCACACTGCATTTAGTCGTCATGTCACTGACGGGCACTTTAAAAAAAAAAATAAATAAAGTTTGGCTTTTTTTAAAATTAATTTTTTTTCACCTGAAGATATGCTTTTTATTGATTTTTAGAGAGGAAAGAAGGGGAAGAATAGCAAAGGTTGGGAGGGGGACGGGGAGAGAGAGAGAAAGCAAGTGAGGGAGGAAGAGAGAAGCACTGATGTGAGAGAGAAACATCGATTGGTTGCCTCCAGTACGCACCCTGACAGGGGGATCAAACCCCAAACCCAAGTACGTGCCTGCAGGAAATGGAATCCACCACCATTCCGAGTATGGGATGACGCTCCAGCCACACCACCCTTTTTTCCTGGAAGCATCACTGAGACTAAACGCAGCCCAATACTAATTTTGGATCTTTCTGGATCCTTTTAATCCGCCCCCTCCTAGGTCATTCTCCTGGGATTTCCTTATCTGCCTTTCGAGTGACTTTCAACATCCGGTGGGCCTCCCTTCGCTTCCTTCCATGGCCAGGAGCACTTATGGCTTTGTTTCTTCTTCCTTGTCTACTCAAGAGCAGCAGTTGGAGCCAGGGCCCTGGCTTCCAATCCCAGCTCTGCTGCTTATCAGCCATGGGACCCTGGGCACATCCCATGACCTCTCCACCTCAGTTTGCTGACCTGGAAAATGGGGATAAGAGCCCCTACCTCACGGGAGAGGGTGAAGATTAAGTAAGTGAATGTGTATCAAGCATCCACATCAGAGCCTGGCACATGGGAAGTGCTCCAGGTCCCTGGGGCATCTCGCCTGCCTGCTCCAGCCATCACTCACTCCCACAAGCAGGGCTTGGGACACACAAAATTAACTGCTCTACAGCAGCCCTGCGCTTCCTAGCTCCCTCATGCCTCTCTCATAGCCCTCGTGTGGTCTTCATAGTCACATGTCCTTCCAACTCTGAGACTCTGCCTTTCCCCCTGCCCCCATCCAAGGGCAGGGGCACCAGGTCAGCTCAGGTCAGCCCTGCCCTCGGGAGCGTGAGGCTGAGCAGGAGACAGACCAAAATGAGACCATCACACCAAGCACCCCATCATCCCCTCATGGGTCCTGTGGCTCCTGAGCCTTGGGGTACCCCAGCTTTCTCGGTACCTCTATGAAATGACCTTCCTGGGAAAGGTGCTTTTCCCCAAACCAGCTCCTCCTACTTCAGTGCCCGACCCTCATCCCTCACCAGCTGGGGATGTGACTGCGGGAACATCTCCTGACCCACAGGAGCGAGACCCACAGCTCCCACCTGCCTCAGCCTGACACCAGCTGCTCTCTCATGCTTGTCT